TGAAAACAAAAGGCAGATACAATCTGAAAATTGAACGAACTCAAGATAAAAATAGAAATCGATAATGAATATAAGAATTAGGCCTAGCTATTAAAAAAATTAATTTAAATATCACCATAGGAAACTTTATGAGATCCATAAAAAGTATAAAAAAATGTCATTTATCTATAGGAAACTTAATTACATCCGTAAAAACAAAAGGTAGATAAATCTGAAAATTGAACGAACTCGAAATTAAAATAGAAATCGATAATGAATTAAAAAATTATTGATTAAAAATAAATTTACATTTTACCATAGGAAACTTTATGAGATCCATAAAACCGATAAATAAATTTACATTTCACAATAGGAAATTTTATAAAATCCATAAAAACAAAAGGCAGATACAATCTGAAAATTGAACGAACTCAAGATTAAAATAGAAATCGATAATGGAAGGCCATTAAAGAACAATAAATTAATCAAGTATACAGTGTGGATTGGAAGACTTCCGTGTATAGTAGTGTACGGGAGGGGGGGTGGAGGGGGGGTAAGGACGATGTCGGTCACTGAACTGTTGTAAATAGCACAACCGAGCAATGCCCCACACCCCCTCCTAATACCCCCCTCTACTCATGGATAGCACACGTTTATGTATATTTTTATAATGCAAAGAGATAACAATAAGATATTATTTATGTATATAATTCTCATCTATAATTTAGGATGTACAAAATGAATTAAAAGCATAGATTATTTATATCCAACATTCAACCGATATTGTTTATGTAGAATTTGATCGTGATGGAAAGACTAAATAATTTATATTTTTAATAGTTAATTTATCATTCAAATTATATAGTGATTAAAGCTTAGAGTACGCTATCATTAGACAAATAAAAGTGTGTGTATTGTTGTTGTACTAAGAACGGTGCAATTTCTGCCTAATTATATGTACCTACCATATAAATTTTACGTTTCTTCTTGCTATATAATGGGACAGTGGTTGATTGAACTATAATAACAATAATTAATAGCTATGGACGTAATTAATTTAAAATTATTTTATTATTGATGTTATTTATTTATTTAAACTCACTAAATGGGACTAATAAAAATTAATTACTATGTGTAATTCAGATGTTAAATATATTGTTAATAATTTACTTTTATTTGTGAAGGTATAACTGTATAATTATTTAGATTAAAATATATTATGGTTAATGAAAATAATAAGTAATTTATAAAGGAGAATCAAAGTATACTCTTTTTACCCACAATTTGTTTGATTAATGTAGAGCTAGAAAGTGTTAGTTACCAGAAGTTCAATTTATTGTTAAAGATTTTTTGGTCACGAATATTGGGTTACATTAAGTAAGTACATTAAAAAAAAATGAATAGCCCACTGTTAATTTCTAAACCGATAATTTTAGCCACTGTTAATTTTTTCCATCCTGTAAATTAATTGAATTTAAAACCACCAAAGGATAGAGGTTTGCTAGGTTAGTCTAATCTATTAGTCATCCTATTTGTCTCATTATCCTTAAGTGATAAAAAATACATATTTTAATAAATCTGATTAAAATTAAGGTGCACAAAATGTCAATAACAACTTTTTGGGACACAAGTTTACATATTGAACTTGTTCACGAGTATTTAATATGAAAGAGAGTCAATTTAAAATAGTTTGGGATATCTATAAATAATATAAAATCTCCATATAAAATGTAAATATAAAAGTCTCCACTACAATGGTAAACTAAAAAAGAAATTATAATTACATGCTTGATCGGAAGGGGTTTGTATGTGTGACCCCCTCCCCCTAAAAATATAATACTGCTTGAAAAACTTGACTACAATAATTAGTATCGTTGATAGATTTCAAAAAGTCATTAAAAACTTTACAAGGGGGGTTTTATTATATTATCATCAATGCAACCCAGATCGAGTATATTATTTACATTGTCGGAGCTCTTGTCCGGCTTTGGTTCAACCGGACACCTGTGTTAATCGATCATAAATTAAAGCTTACGATGTTTCTTTAAATTAAACACTGTCACGCACACGTTCCCATGGGTTTGTAATTACCAGTATATAATATGTTCGGTATAGAATTATTTTCCTCTGTGTCAACGTTATTTAATACATAAAATTGGACCCTTTCTTATATTTGTCCTACGCATATCCGAGAAAACTACAAGATGTAAAAGTCTACCAATTACTATTTAGTATTTTAAAATCAGATACAAGTTGTTTAGATCAATACTATTATAATTGATTAGCCTGTAATATATTACAAATACTAGGCCTATACGACGAGACTATCGTTATTGAAACGTAAATTTTTATACTAGGGCTTATTACCCGATACATTCTCTAAGATATGAGTAAAGTATGAATTTCAATCGCAAACTTGTGAAGTAAAAACAACTGTGTAGTTTGTAATACTATTGATTGACAGAAAATATATGATAATACAGACAAACTTTGAAAATAATTTGTTTTTGCGAACTTTACCTAGAGAGAATATGCTTTTACCGTAGGTGGCACGGTAGTATATAGACCCGGGATCGATGAACTTTTGTTCATTTTAATGTCCTCAGAGGTCAAAATCTATTCGTTAAAATTTGTGCGCATATTTTTGTGTTTTTTTATAGGGCACCTGTCATTTGTTTAGTTATTTTTTTTTTATTTCATTAGTAAACGTAGACATTTGATTTAAGGAAGATTTTTGATAAGGAAGTTAAATGAATCCATAACTGGTACCAGAAGTCCAGGAGAGGCCTTGACTCGCCAACTGACATAAGATTGTGGCTCCAAACTTAACAACAAACATTAGATTATGGCTCCAAACTTAACAACAAACATTAGATTATGGCTCCAAACTTAACAACAAACATTAGATTATGGCTCCAAACTTTACAACAAACATTAGATCATGGCTCCAAACTTTACAACAAACATTAGATTATGGCTCCAAATTTTACAACAAACATTAGATTATGGCTCCAATCTTAACAGCAAACATTAGATTATGGCTCCAAACTTGTTAAACATTAGATTATTGCTCCAAAGATAGTTTTCAGTAATTTTTGAATTTATATTAGACCCAGATTGTTTTTAGGAGGGGATTAATTTTAACATAGCCTAAACTAAAACATACTTTGTTTATTTATTATTTACAATATACCGAAAATGTGAATTCAATAAAACAGTTATTTTTTGTAATCTGTCTTTGAAAAATATTGTACAGGTAAATAATAAAATATTGTTTTTATGGTTTCTGAAATTTAAAAGTAAAAAACACCACGATATCTTAAGCAATGATTATGGACAAGCGTAATATATTAATTATTGTCACAACAATTGATGCATCAAAACAGCTGTTTAACGATTATGTATTCACGATGTGTTGAACACGTGCATTTTAAAACAATAGATGGGATTTTGATAAATGCGATTAAAGTCAATTAGTTTGTAAACACGTTGTATTTAAAGTTAGAGCAAATAAAAGATGATAAGTGAATATTCTTCGATTTCGCGACCTTTTTTTTAAAGTGAAACTATTATAGACTTGTAGCCTATAATGTACACATATGCACCCTCGATGACTACTTCTTACTGTATTTGTAATTCTAATTTGTTGCTAATTCTAACAGAATGGTGTACAGTTAAATCTTATTTCATAAGTACAAGGATTTAAATTGACGTCCGGTTCAAAGATCCATTTTATTTCAATTTTTAAAAATCAGGTTCATTCTTGTTTAGGGTTAATGTAATGATACACTTTTAATATTGATTAAAAAATGATTTATAGATACAGGTTACTCAATAAAAGAGTTGAATTGACAAGCGGCTTTTGTTAACGTTGATAAGGTATAGAGTTTGATTGCATCTGTTTGCGTTATACAATCAATGCTTACCGTAGGATACTATAAATAAGTACAAAGAAGAATACCATTGGTAAGTATATAGAAAATAGCGAGGAGGTAACATCAGTAAGAGCAGGTAAAGTAACACAATAAAAAGAGAGCAACAGGAAGTTAAAGTTAGGCAGCGCAAAGGGTTTTATAGAATGTAATTAATAAACGTTGCATTTTCACTAAGTAGCAGGCCTACTCTAAACTATTCATTTCAAACAATGTATCATAACAAGTTGTTTGAACGCCGATGTTATAATTGCTATAAAAGATGATATAAACAATACATAACGTATTCAAAGATGATATTTATATATAAACATCTATATAGGAATTCAAACTTGTGTTGTATAAGTTACGGGTTTTACAAAGTGGCCAAAAATAAAAAAAAGTTACAAATCTTTTATAAATTCTTTTGTAGTCCTAATATATTTTAGCTAATTCTCAGCTGTTCTCTTAAATTGGTCTTATCGTCGATTCTCTTTCTTGAAGCTGTTTGGAAAACTTGTTAAAAAAACTGTAGGCCCAACTGAAAACTATTGAAATCGTGACACATTTTTGTAACTGAGATAAATGGCCAAATTAATCCATAAGTATTACATTCAACGAATGAATACTAGTAATAGCGCATAGGGCTTTCGTACCTTCAAGGTTTTATCTAGGCCGTGTAAACAAACATTAAAAACTGTCATGAATAGAAACTACCTTCTGCAATGTTTAAATACTATCGTAATAAGAATCAAGTATTGATTAATATTCGCTAGGGCATTCCCTTTCAAATAGTTCAACGCAAACTTTTGTATTTTAGTATAGTCTATTATCCCTATGGCTTTGGTTTCAACCATGGTCTTCGTTTGCATATAAGTACTTCCCTTCCCTACATCATTTTGAAATATTGGATTAGCATTCTTCCAGACAGGGGTTAAACCATTTTATTTCAGTCAGTGAAATTATCAACGGCTGACTAAATCGTAAGCTTTATAAAGGCAAATCTACCTTCACTTGACCCAGTAGACATAGGCATATGATAAAAGGCTATTTGTTAGGAAGGAGGTCATTTTCCACAGCAAAGATTTGTTTTGGGATACATTTGTATACCTCTAATGCTGTTGTTGGCGTGCTGATGTCCCGGGGAGTTTGGAGCAGGCGGGGGAGTCGTGCTTGTCACATCTTCGCCCCTAACTGCCCCCCAACTCCCGGATTCGCCCCCCAAAAGTTCCTCCAACTCGTCCATGGGGGCATAACTCCCGCGGGTCACTCCGTACGTCAGTCACCCGAACTCCATGGGAGGACAGGTCGTCGCTCCTCGTAGTCGCACGCCCACTATCACTAGACGGGGTCGCGCCGCTGCCGCCGACAATAATGGGTATGTCAACGTTCACAACGCGTCAAAATGTAAACTGATTGGTCCGATTTCATCAGTTTCTATTTTGCATTGTTTTGGACAATACAGTAGCCTACTACTCTTACTGTAAATCGGTTCCCCCGACAAAGGGTTTTTCTACCCCCCCCCTTCCAAAAACGATAAGAGTGTTAAACTCCACGCGATTAGAACAGGTGCGAAATAAATTAAATCAAAACTCCTTAATGAGGAGTCCTTTAATAATATGTAAACACCTAGAGAGGTTTTCCAAGTGCGAGAGATAAGATAAGAGATAAGATAAGGGAATAAGGCAATAACCTAGAGCGACCACGACTTGAATTATCTACGAAATTCAACACTGAGCCCTAGTTCATTCCCCTTTGACTACGACAGTAGGTGTACAACAATACAAGAGTGATTGTCACTACCCTAGCTCGGCAGTAAACGATATTACTGTTTGACACCTTGTTTACCTGCTAGTTACCGATTCACCTACTACTGGCGATAGTCATGACTAGTCTCCGAGCCTGTGGGGACCTCCGAGCGACCGAACCTGCAAAAAGAACAAGAGGAAAAAGTGGGCTTTACTCAAACGATAAAGTAAACCCTCCGGTTGACATTGATTGAAAAAGGCAAATCAATAACCCCCTTTAAATTTAACGTTTAATTACAGGAATAAAGTTAAATTGCACTCCAGTCATAAAGTTTACTCAATTTTAAGTAAATATGGGGAGCGAAACGCTATCTTTCTTGATAATCAGGGGGCGTGTTTTGAGCAGTATTGTCGGGGCAGCGGACACTTTGTCCAGCACGAACACACTCGTACGGTAAACCGATCCCGTCACAGCACTGGACACTACCGATCACAATATCACTGGAATAATGACCACTAACGGCAAAACTTAGCGCGAAACTGGTGTGTTTTTTGTAGCCAGGGACGGGGTCAACGACCGGCGCGACCGAGCTTGCCCGACCGTCGACGAAAACGTCCGAACGCAGTTATGTAATGTGTGAGGTTATGAGGCACCCGACCGCTAGACTTTCATTGCACCATCTACTGCACCTCCACACACGCACACAGATGCGTACACACACAGCGTAAGTTTTATAATAATACGCGTAAAGTGCGTAGACAGTGGTATGTAGTGTCAGTGTGGTAGTGTGGGACATCGACGTGACACAGTGTAAGGGAACAGCTGAGAGGCGGGGCGGGTGAACGAACTGACGTCGGTTCTTGCCCTCTTATATTTCCTCATTTAAAAGACGTGTGATTCATACGAATTCTAGGAAATCAATGTAATAACACCTTTCATCAATGGCGACACAAACTCCATAGAGGTTTTTAGTTTTGGAGATTTAAAAAGGGTGGTAGCAAAATGAGTACGAAAAACAATGTGTTCAAAGTGAGCAACAAAAATAAGTTTTACCGGTACCTTTGAGAAGCTTACGAGGATAGGTTTTGCATAACAATTTGTAAAGAGCGGTTAAAGTTATGAGTTAACGCAACCAATATATATTTACCCTTGAATATCCGCATTTGGAAGATAAATTTTATGGTGGGGGATATGAAATATTCTCATAATGATATTTTATTTTATCACGTAATAAATTAACGTATAAATAAAACACAGTAAATGTATTTAAATCTTAAATAACATAATATGTCTATTGCTAATTGTGAATTGTGATCATTAAAAATCTTTTACGTTCTGGTTCCTACATTGTTAATTTTATCATGGGATGAACATAGAATAAAAAAACACCATCACAGCAAACTGAAAACAAAATTTCTAGCTAAGTTTGAATGAAAATTCACAAGTTTAGTTAGTTAAATTGTATAACTATTCACCACCGGGACACCAAATTTGCTAAAATAACGTTGACCCTTTGGTTACTTGGGTTTACTGCTAAACGAATCACAAAACATGTGAATGGTTATTTTATTGAATGATTTTTACAACCTTTAATAAAATAAAGAATTTCGCAATTTTTAAGATGTACATCCATTAAACAAGCAATCTACTGGAGTGAATTTATTCTCAATAAAGATAACATGGGAGACGACGTTCTAAGTTTAGAACTTATCTCGGTAACCAGAGGGCATAGAACGAAAACCTAACCTTAATGAATTATTTATTATATTAAACCAGCGTGGTTGGTAAAAAATATGGTACGTAACTTTTACTAAATTTCTGTAGAAAAAAGGTAAAACAGTTTTTACATGCTGTTAAAAATTCACTCAAAATTAGAGGATTTTACTAGGGTCGTCTACGAGAGTGTTATAATGAATCCATTTTAGCGAATTGCTCATATAGGGAATAAGCTATTACTGTAGTTCTGATGGTAAGACCTGGGCCCGGGACCGATTTACTTTTTCGTTTTGAGGTCCCTAGAGGCCAAAAACACCGTTCAAATTCATGTGTGTGTGTCCGTTAACACGATAACTCGAGAAAAAATGATCCGATTTTGATGACATTTTGTATAAACGTGTAAAACTACGTTTATTCGAACGAGTTCGCGAACCAGCATGATCGGACTATGAGAACGGCGGTTTATGGGGTAAAAATTGGTTTTCCCCGTTTTTGTCCCTAAAACATAATATTTAATTAATTTATCATCACACTATTTTGTAGAGCATAAAAAAATTAGTAAATTGAAGCGTTATTATGCGCCTAATGGTTATGGAGAAAATTCCAACAAATTGTAAATTAAAAATGCCCATGTTATTCTTATGGAGAATAAGTAAACTGTTATAATTTGCTTGTTTATGGACATATTATGATCAATTTTTGAAAATGTGTTTATTCCATACTAAACTTTTAACATTTCACTTACAACAAAAAAAACACTTTTTACCCTCCCTGTTGCAGCAAACCTAAGTACTCGTTAAACCAATGGTATTTAAATAGGGAATAAGGAGATATTTTAGAGTAAATCCAATCAGGCAAATGGAAATTCGCTTAGTCTGCAGGTTTGCTGCGGCGGGGGTATATTCACTATTTTATTAATTACAAATTAATTTAATTTCATTTTTTTTCGTTCAATCCAGCCGAACTATATGAATAGTATGGTGTATAAATTTGATGTCACCATTGAGGATACAGTTATAACTTGATTGGCTACTATTTATTAACAGGCAAAACTCATAAATGTATCAAATAGAAAACGAATTTTACTTAAACGTAGACGACTATTTTGTTGTTACTCTTAAAAATCATTGAACCATCCTGGTTTATTTATACTGATATTGTATATTAAATTTTTATTATTTTAACCTCATTGAATATAGATTCAATAAACTGGGTATTCTCATAGAATTTAATGTTAACTGATTGGTCCCATACAACAATATCTCGAGGTCATCAGTTTCTATTTGCATTGTTTGGAAAAGACTACTCTTACGGTAAATCGGTGGTTCCCCCAACAATGATTGTCTCTATACCCCCTCCCCTCACCTTTCCACAACGATAAGAGCGCTAAATTCCCCGCGATTAGAACAGGTGCAAAATCAATTAAATCAAAACTTCTTAATGAGGAGTCCTTTAATAATATGTAAACACCTAAAGAGGTTTTCTAAGTGCTGCAACTGGGATAGACCTATTAATACACCCATGTAATAAAGGTAATAGCTATGGTAAAAGTTATCTAATAAGGCACTTTATATACTAAAATCAATCTACATCACGTTTTACAGTTTGTAAATCACTTTTACGACTTTCTCAGCCATTTTAATTAAGTATAGTATTATTTTGACCCTAAAAACTTTTTTACTCGTAAGACTATTTAAAATTTATTACATATAAATTCTACTTTAAGGTAAAAACGATTGCGACCAAATATCCAGAAAATGAAAGTTTATTCGATTTAAATCTAGATAGAATATTTGAACAAAATATATTTTTTTAGTTCTAAGCGAAGGCTAACATTTACTTCTATACTAAAACACGAAAAAATAAAAGGGGCAATGTTTATTGACTTCCTACGTCGATCGCGAAAAGCGTCGAGCGTGTGGTTGTGCGCGTCGCGCGCGTTCGCGTACGAGCGTCGAGCACTGCTACCTTTCTGCTGGTGCTAGTAGGCCAATGACCTGACCTACTTTCGAGCCAGGCTTGCCGAGCGCAGCGCGAAAATTCCCCGTCGTCCCTGCGCAGATGTGAGCACTTAGCACATTTTTAGACTTGGCTTTTTGGTATGATACTGATTTTAAAATTTCTCCTGGAGATAAAATGTTTACTTGTGATTTTATAAAGCTTAGAAAATCCGTTCACATTTTCTAAATTTTGAAAAAAGAATTTCATAGATTTACAAGATAGCTTTGCTTTAAAGTACCACCTTTGGCATTTAGAAGTAGACTTTCCCATGTTGCTATAGTTTTAGAATAGGCTTAATATTTATCGAAGTTGATACAAGTCCCGTAGCTTTGGCAAGTTTTAGAATAACATTCAGTTAAATTGAACCACTAGAAATGAAAATTACTTTTAACCATATTTACTTAGATTTAAGAATACACAAACTTTAAAACTAATTCAGAGATGACACTTATTGTAAATTTAATAGCATTTTTATGGTAGCCTAGAGCATAGCAACAAAATCTAGGGAAGAAAATATGATTTTGATAGTAAGTACTATTTAAGTAGTATTTAAATATCTACATAAATGTCCATATAGATATGATGCCTACTTCTGGTCCAAAAATTAAATATGGAACTATACAAATTTACTCATAATTTTTATGGAACCTAGTATAAAGGTTTTATAAATATCATAAGTTTTGTAAAAACTGCAAAGATTTCATTTCACTTGTTAAAGAATTGCTAATATCTAGTAACTAAATAACACCAGTACTACTAATTTTCTTATCCTGTAATTTATATTTTTTGTATGAAGGTAACATGAGGTAGACATTGTGTCTCCAGTTTTTTTTTTTTTTAGTTTTTGAGAAATGTTGATTTTTAATGGTGCCTTTTCAATAAAACCCAATAAATCCATACCATTGATTGTCAGATTTTCAAACAAACCGAAAGAACAATTTTGATTAAATAGTCCTTTTAACGCCCATTGCTGCAAAAATTACGGTTCAAAATGAATTGCAACTTTTATGATTTGTTCATAAAATATTCATAAAGTTACCCCACCGCTTACCATTGATAAGGGTTGATGATAAGCTAATGGGAGAAAGTATGTGCCAGATTGCTGATGACGTTTATTTTATTTGGAATTAAGGAATGCCACGTTTTAAATCACTGAATAATTATCTGATAATATTTAGGGATTTGCCCTTTTAAACGAGTAATAAAACTAATCATCTCCCATTCAGTCTTATAAACGTACACGTACAGCAGTAGTCCATGTGGGTTTTAAGAGTTTTTTTTTTTTTTTTTTTTTTTGGCATTTTTTTTTTTTGGCATTGTTAAGCATTCAAGTAATTTTCTTGCGTGTAATTTATTTTTAACTGGTGATGTTTCCGTTAATAAATAAATATATAAATAAAATTGAGACCACTAAGACGGTCACGTCATTTGAATAACATAAGCTAAATATGAATTCAGGGTAAGTGTAGAATCGAGTGACATGATTTTTGTGTAGCATTGTTACTTACTACCTATCTGCTGTTGAGTGACATGATTTTTGTGTAGCATTGTTACTTACTGCCTATCTGCTGTTGAGTGACATGAGTTTAGTGTAGCATTGTTACTGCCTATCTGCTGTTGAGTGACATGATTTTTGTGTAGCATTGTTACTGCCTATCTGCTGTTGAGTGACATGATTTTTATGTAGCATTGTTACTGCCTATATGCTGTTGAGTGACATGATTTTTATGTAGAATTGTTACTGCCTATATGCTGTTGAGTGACATGATTTTTATGTAGCATTGTTACTGCCTATA